CTGGCACCCCGCTCACACTGAAATGCTGTGGGCAGGGATGTACCTCAGGTCCTCCTGTCACACCATTTCTAGTTACAGGAATGCTTCTGCTGGTTCACCATCTGCAGTCCTGGGGTCTCTCCTGAGGGTACATACTGACACTTTTCTCAGAGACCTGTGAAAGGATTACTGTCCCTTTTAAAAAAGATACAGAGGAGAGAACTTGTCAAAGGCCTCTTCATTTGCCTAGTGCTATGCAATCAGGCTTCCATTTTACTACTGCTTATTTTTCTTTCTACTAGCTGTTTAAAGAAAAATTCTCTGAAGAGCAGCATTGGGAAGCAGTGTTACAAAGAGTGAGAACACCTCAGACTGCTGTACCCAAATAGCTTTCCACTAGGAGCAGGAAGCTTCTTGGACATTGATCCTGCAGACTGCGTACAGAGTTCTGCTACCTGAACATGTGCGGCAAACACAGGCCTACCTTCTATACAAATTCCAGCTTTTCATCATCCCCAAACAGCTTTAAATCAGATTTAGTAGTCAGCATGAAGTAACCCACATGTCTCCAGGATCAGACTGCTGTTTGTGTGTAGCTTTGCCATTACTGCTTTTGTGCAACACTCTTCTTCTGATGAGCCCAATATCTTACTGGCTGTTCAACTACACTGAATTCTTTGCTCCAAGATACACACTTTTATAAGCCTAGCATGTTCCGACAGCATGGTGCTGGGAGTTTTAAATGAGCAGACACCCAAGTATTTTCTCATGCTTCATGTGGAGAAACATTTGTAAGATCCATCTCTGATGACATAGCTCAGAGAGATTTCTTGTTTGAATAGAAACACATGAAAAAGGTACACTGAGGCAGTACATTCATGTTCTAGTAATTTATTTTGTAATGTCCAGTAGCACACATACATATTTCCAGTTAAATCTGAACAAATGTATATCAGTTTTTGTTTTATCATTTTACTACTTAAATCATATTTTTGCTTTAGCTTACCACAGAGTTGTATGCTCTGTGACTTAAAAAATGTTAAGATATGGAATACAGTCTGCAAGTTGATGTGAAAAGTAAACATACACACAGATTAGGTGTCATAACTGAATGGAGATGCATAAATGACATGTAAAATCTCCCTGTAGATAAAATAACTTTAACTGAAATCTAGAAAATTTCCTGACAGAGCACTATGTATTTCAGAATTTGGAAGCATGTTTTCCAAAAGAAACTCTGAAAATACATGCACTGGCTCTTTTCTGATCTAATATTAAGGAGCAGATGCAAAATAATTTAAGAAAAATGAACAAAACACTAAGTTGCTTTCAATTTCTTCTTGATTTGACTTTCTTTTTCCTGGCAATTTCTCACACACTTTCTTCAGTGCCAGCACTTCTAATCCATCCACTGCCAGCAATGGGTAATGTTGTGGGAAAGACCCTGGTGCAGAAAGGTTTAGTGTAATTTATGATAGAAATTACAGAAATAATTAGTAAAGCTTTCAATTCTTTTCAATGGTTAGTGTAATTCAGTGTGTGACTCTCAGCTTTTAGTGTTAAATAGAGCATGTCAATATATAGAAAGTATAAATAATTTCAATATTGTTGTTTCCATATCTTTTTTTTTAAAGCAGCAATTGTAGTGACATTGATTTTATTTAAAAAGATACAATGCTTGAACTTAAACTGAGGTTGTGTCTTTTGCTTCTAGCATAATTTTCACATCACAGAATTTTATTCATGTTAATTCCATTAAGTACGACTTGGAGACTTGCTTCAGCTTCTTCTAGCCACGTATCACTTCTACCTGGACAGTAAATGAGGATAAAATACTCCATGTAGAATGCCTTCTATGACTACGTTTGGAAAGTCATCTGGAAAGGGAAAAAAAAAACCACACAAAAAAACCTTGCTTTCTTATCTATGTCAGTACAATATAAGTGTTTTTGCAAGACTTAACTAGGTAAGCCCTCAAATAATCTGGGTTACTGCATCACTCAACTGTTTATCCGTGTTAGGGATGTGCTATTAGTAATGCTGTTTCAGCACTAAAGCCACTTTAGTGTAGCATTGGGCATTGCATGAATGTGCTGCCAGATTTGTAGCTTATTGATTTAAAGGGATGTTCTAATACTTAATGCTGCTAGGCTCCAGCTTTTTATCTGAATCTTTTCTCACAAGGAAGATGGATTACACTGGCAATTCAATTTCTAACAAAATCTCAATATACTTGAAGGAATTCCAAGATTGCTACTGGGAATACTTCAAAGCTTTTTTTCCATTGTGGTTTACAGCAATGTTTAGACTGAGAGGACTTGAGGATGTCTATACAATCAGAGATGATTATTTGAGGCAGGAAAATTGCAGGCTGTCTAATCAACATAAAACGTCACGTGTTATAAAGTCATCTGTTAATATCTGAAGGAAAAAAAAACCACAGTATGTTCTTACCACAGATGTAGAGGAAACTGGCACTTAATTTTCATGTCAAAATTAGCATGAAAGAATTACCTGATAAAACACAGCAATAGATCCACACAGAGGAGTGGCAGGATGTACATTACTGGAGTGAAAACATTTTTCAAATGCACGAACTCCTGTGTTTTTAATGATGGGCTTACTTCAGTCACTGAGCATAAACAGTAAGAATTTCTGATCTCATCTTACAATCTTAAAATTGCTAGTACAATAGGAAATAGGTTTGTCTAGAAGAACAGGCTTTTCTGATACAGAACTTGCCATGCTAATCGAATCTTTCCTTGACCTGTCATGGTTCAGGATATTCAAAAAGGGAGAGGCAACTTTTGCAAAAATCATTAGACACTTGATAAATTACATCAGCTAACGTGGGATGTAGGTTTTGTCCCTAATTCTTCTGCTAAAATAACTTTGGAGGTAAAAATAATGAGCAAAAAGCACATTTGGACTTGGTAAGAAAAAAAAATCCTTATTAGCTTAAAGGTGTTATCTCATATGTATTAATAAGGCGATTCCACTGTTTTAGAGATGGTACAGAGAAACTTTCAGATGTTTTAACGAACTGCAACCTCCACCGTAAACAATACGTGCGTAATTCTCCCCAACTTCTCATAAGTCATCATTATAAATTACTTGGTAATTTTTTGAAACCAATAATGATTCCTCAAGTCCTGCAAGCTGAGCTACCCCAAATCACCCTGGGTAGAGTAACCCTATGCTGTTGTCATTAATGTTATTAAAAACACTCTTGTAAGGGCAATCAGATGGCTTCCTTCTAAATTAAAATGCTGCAGTTTCAGAAACCAGTTTTTACTGGTTCTTCTATAACATAGAGTATATATAGGAAAATGAGTATTGATTTAAAAAAATGCATTTTAAAGCATCAGATTTACTGTGAGGCTTTGTTGCTTAAATAATAAGGCATATTAATGTGAGTTAAATGTGTAAATACACCAAAGTACAGTCTTGCAGATCTGTGATACTTAAATGGCTTAAATAATCATCAGAACAGTTTTCAAACAAGTGACAGTAAATCTAAGATTCCATTTTTTAGCTTCTGAGGTATCATTTTCAATTTGCAGCATTTTAGATTTTTCCTTCATTTTTCTTCAAAATAGTACACAAATCTTTTTTTCCACTCCCATAAAATAGAAGTGGCCACCTTACACAAAAAAAGTGATGTGCTTACTGTATTAGAGACATAATGAAAAAGTGAGTCTGAAAATCAATGAAGTTTGTAACTGTGGATCTTACTTTTGGAAAGTTGTGTTGCAACTCAATAATGCCTAAAGTCCAATCATTAGAATAATGGCAAGACTATATTTTATAAAGA